CTCTCTCTCTCTCTCTCTCTCTCTCTCTCTCTCTCTCTCTCTCTCTCTCTCTCCCCACCCCCTTTATGGCAAAATGTGCAGAAATACACCCAAGAGCAATAGCATGTTCAAGTTTCCTTGTGTAGATGTTCAGATACATCCTAAGAAATCAGGTTGTATTTCTGTGTCAGAAGGGTAGGTGATTTTCTTTTAGACATGTAAACTCAGTAGTTTACTAGAATTATGGGCCAAATCTCTTCATTTCATTTCATTTCATTTCATTTCATTTCATGAATGTAGCAAAAAGCAAAATAAATAATTGATTAGGAGGCTTGATTTAAATTGTCCTGGTACCATCTCTTGGAGTTTACTACAAGCTTAAGATCCTCATTGCTTAAGAAAGACCAGAATACTATCTCTGACAAAAAATAAATAAATAAATAAATCCAGAGCAGACAGTTTCTCAGAAAAGGTTCAGTTGCATCCATTTGTTTAAAAGTGATGTCTATTAATATTGATGAACTGGAATGATTTACAGACACAGAACTATGGAAATAATAATACAAGATGGCATCTGGCATGTGAGAACCTATTTTCTTTTGATAATATTACAGAATCCACAATCAAAAATATTGCTAAAGAGACCTGACCTGTTGGAAGCAACTTTAGATAAGCAGCATTATCTAATTTACATGTGGCTGAAAAGATACACGTTTGTTTGTACAACAGTCGCATTCTAATGTTCAATTTTAACCTTCTCCTACCTGCTTTCAGAATCAGTTGTCTTGGCCATGGCCACACAGGCAATTTGCTGGGTAAACCTAAAGGGCAAAAGAGAATTGTGCACTTTCATACTCTGCACTGGGGAACTGCTCCCACCTTTGAAAATGAACATGTTGTACATTTGTTTACCAATTACTTAATCAAACAAATATTCATTATTTATTTGCTTGTTTGGGTCATCTAACAAGACTGATATCTAGTGTTGCATATTTTTCTTCTACCTTGTTTACCTCAGTAAACAGAAATGTCTGGATAATTTTTTAAATGCTTCTTCATCGAAAGTGGATGACTTATGTGTGGGGATTTTGTTTCCTCTGTTTGTCTCTTTTTTCATCAAGTCATCAAATGATACTTTGCTTTGAATCTGCAAGGACTAGGAGACTGCTACTGTAAAATAATATGATTATCACTTCACACTGGTTTTACTGAGAACAAGATCTATATGGGTGCATAGCTTCCCTTTTTATCAAGAGAGCATATGCAGTAAAAGCATATTACTTTAGGGGATCTCAAAGCTGCATTGCAAATTGAGATGCGTGTATGTAACATATTGCTAAGATATCATCCTGACTTGTATATTTTTCTTTAATAGGTGCTTCACATACTATATGTTAACTGTCTAAACTGTTTTCTATTTGCATCGTAAAAATCTAAAAGAGGGCACCAAACATGTATGTAATGTATTATATTCTACCCTTGCCAGGGAGCTGAAAGTGTCTGTAATTCTGATAAACCATTGGTTAGTAATCAATACATTTGCCAAATATTGCACTCAAAAGAATACTTTAATACAAACAAACAAAAAAATCCTCTTACATGGTGATAATGGTAAGAAAAAAATCAACTGCAACTATAGACTGTTGTATGATAGTATCACAGACAAAATACCAGTATTTGAAGATCAAACTGAGTTTAATTTAGTCCAGATTTTCCAATGGTCAATGATACAAATTCTGATAACTGATGGCACAAATTGTTATATTTGGGTGCAGCTCTTTGAAATGAGAATATTGCACTCAAAGCAAGTACTGTTAATTAAATTATTTGGAAAATGATATTAATATGCAAGATTACTATTTGAGGGCGGGGGGGTTGTGATATACAGTACTTTTGAGCTAATATTGGGCCTCATAAATAATACTTTAAAATGAGTTAGAAATAAAAGGACATTTCAGAAAGTTTTCAAGAAGGTTAATAGAATATGAACAATCTGAATCTGAAATCCCTATAGATTATACTATATCGATGCTAAATTTAATTTTAGCACTTATATGTTCATTTTGTTTCCAATGTATGCAACTTGGAATGGTGTAGGAAACTTGGAAAAGGGTAGAATTTTTGTTATAATAGAATTATTTCAGATTTATTTCAAATCCTAATAACATTTAAAAGTCAAATTAATTGAGCTGAATTGAAATAG